AGTAAAGTGCTCAAACTATGTGGTTGCTGATGGCACAAACACCACAAGTATTGCTCTAAAATTTGGTTGGTAACTTCGGATTGACCATCAGTTTGAGGATGATAAAAGGAACTCATCTTGAGAGTGGTGCTGGACATTTTGAAAAACTCCCGCCAAAAGTGGCTGATAAAAACTGGATCACAATCTCTAACTATCGACCAAGACATCCCATGCAATTTTACAATAGTGTTGACAAAGATTTCTGCAATAATTTTGGCAGTGAAAGGATGATTGAGTGCTGCAAAGTGTGAAGATTTGCTGAGGCGGTCGACGACTACTAGAATAGTGCTCTTGCCATGGGATATGGGTAACCCTTCAATGAAATCTATAGTGATATTTTCCCAAATTTGATTGGGCACCGGTAATGGTTGAAGAAGGCCAGCTAGAGTGAGTGTATCTGATTTTGCTTTGTGACATGTGTCACAAGATAAGACATAATTGTAGATAGACTTGCGTATGGATGGCCAATAAAACTGTTGGACAAGCCATTTGAAAGGATCCTTGGATGCCAGAATGTCCCCCACTTGGTGAGTTATGAAATTTGTGAAGTAATTACTACATGATATTAGATTGAGGAGGAATAATAATTCATTATTTAAAATAGAGAAAACCTCATTTTTGTTGTAGAGTTGACCTGGATTCTCGGTAGCTAATATATCCACCTTCTGCATGTAAGGATCGGTGGAGATACTTGGGCATAGATCATCCCATAACTGAGCTTATAGAATGGAGAGGGCATGGAGAGTTATGACATCCCTTCTAGAGAGTGCATCGACAACAGAGTTTTTTTTTTTCCTGGTTTGTAAATAATCTCATAATCAAACCCAAATAATTTGGAAACCCATTTCTGTTGTTCAGGAGTGGAAATTTATTGTTCCAGTAGATATTTAAAGCTTCTCTGATCTATTTGAATATAAAACTTGTGACCTAGAAGATATGGTCTCCATAATTTGACTGCTACAATGATTGCCAACATCTCTTCAGCGTAAGTCGACTAGGCTTGCTTAGAAACTCCCAGAGCACGACTCATATTGAGTGCCCGTTCTATGAGAGGACAGGCCCAATACCGTCACCTGAAACATAAGTTTCAACTATGAAAGGAGCGTTGAAGTCCGGTAATACCAATGTAGGAGTTGTTGAGAGAGCTTGTTTTAGTTGTTCAAAGGCATGTTCCACTACTTATGTCCACCCAAATTGACCCTTCTTTAGGAGGTTAGTCAATGGTCCAGCTATCATTCAATAATTTTTGACAAACTTTTTATAATAACTAGTAAGTCCCAAAAAACCTTGCAGTTCAAAGATGTTGGTTAGTCGTTGCCATGATTCCATTGCCTTGACTTTAGCTTGATCAATTTTAACTCCCTGTGAAGTGATAATATGGCCTAAATACTTTAGTTCTTATTATCCAAAAACACATTTCTTTTATTTGATGAAGAAGTGATGTTGTCTCAAGATGTTTAGAGCCTACTTGACATGATCAAGATGCAATATCCAAGTGCTACTGCAATTAGATGACGTCAAAAAATACCAACACAAACTTACATATATGTAAGGTCGAAAAATGAAAGTCATGATGGCTTGGAAGGTGGAAGGAGCATTGCATAACACAAACGACATGACTAGATATTCATAGTGCCCATTGTGTGTCTAGAAAGTAGTTTTATACACATTTGTAGGATGAACTCTGACCTGATGATAACTGGTTGTAAATT